ACACACAGATCAGGATCGAAAGCTTTTATGCTAATCCTGTGAATTTGTTTATGAATTTTTCATGATTTCAACCTCTTTAGCGATTATGAGCGATTATAGAGACCATTCCAAACATGTATATTGGACAATTCTGTGCGACTAAGTTTTTTTCTCAGCAAAACACTGCGTGTTTTAAATTCGCCTATACTTAAGTACATTCCGACGATTGGTTTATGGACGAGCTTGTGAGCTTTAGCGAATCTGACACAGCACTCGTAAATCGCGCCTGTGACATAGAGGCGATCGACTGACAGAAACAGTACATGCAAAACGAAATAACAGTACGGAAAAATGGCAGTGAGAATCTTTAAAGGAAATACTAGATCACTGGTTAAGGACATCGTTTCGGACAACAAGAAGTGGCTAAACCTCTCGGATGGAACTAATCAACCACTTCTTCAAGCCGCGATTTTCAAAGTCATCTCTTCGAAATCAGAGACTTATGTTCATTATGACCTGGGGCAAACGACGACCTAGCCCACACTTTACTGGTTTGTCCGGCACTTGAAAAGTCCGAAGCACAGCGTAAAGCAAGGTAAAAGCACAAAAGATTGCTTTTGCACAGACATTGCGACTTGAGAGGCCGAATCTCTCCAGTCGTTCCGAGATAAGGCATACAACAATTTGTGGACTTCACACGCAGTACCACGAGCTAAGAAATGTCGAACTCGAGCTAGATTTGGCGCGCATGATAGAGCCGCAGATGACGCGTAGCGCTTCAGGGGATCTGGGAAATCTCTAGGGTGATCTCAGATTGATTGAGCCAATTGATACTCTCTTTTCGGCCCGCAGTACTGTTCAGGAAGATTTGCGCTTAGCGAAAAGTTGTAAGCGTGAATGGTATTAAAAACCGGCTTTGGAAAAAAACGAAAGTTACGTTGAATTTTGTTATTGACTGCATGCAAAAACGTTTTCTCTTTTGTTTTTTTTCGAGAATGCACCACTAGTATTCAGTATATCACAAGACGTTGTTATCTAGCCTACAAACCTATGTGCGGGGAAAAAAATGAATTCCCGAGTTAAGGAACAAAGCTAGCAAACTGCTACTCTATGCACCCGCAAGTGATGTGTCGGACCGCCAATGACCAGAACATAAATAACATTGAGATCTGATTTACTTGTTTCTCTGTTTTTCACGAAACTTTGATTGGAACTATTAAAATACGCAATAGGTGTTTTGTTGCGTTTTTTTTTTTATCGAAGCCTTTACTTTATGCAAGTGTCAATAGCAGTACTCGTTATTGAGTTGTTACCCGAGTTCATGATGACGCCTGAGCTGCTTTTTCTATTTTTGTTGGTGTTCGGCAGGGAGCTATGGCAAAGAATATCCCAGTTATTTCCTAAATTCGACTTCACTATCGAAAGAAGGCGAGACAAGCCATGCTTACAAAGGGGTTGATCGTCAACATTACGTAGCGCAAAAATCTGCTGAGGATAACTGCGACTATCACTTCGCCGATTCTTGACTGAGACCCCCTGAAAAAGGAGGCTCAGTAGTTACCGCTTCAATGACGCTTTTTGCCTTTGGCGCGGGTTGGCACAATTTAGGCCGACACAGTATGTGTTTGTTCCTTCATTTTCTTAAGGCAAACAATATCTCTGGTAACTTGGCTATAATAGATCCCTCCCTCTCTGCTCTCTTACAATAGCTTTAATGAGTTTACCTCCTTAGGATACCTTTATACAAAAACGCTTAGGTATTGACTTGATCGATGAACGTAAGACTTACACATACTCATACGTAGAAACGGGCCACTGGGTGGCCTTTTATGTCTTCGATGTAGCTGCTGCTGGCATGCAGCTACATCGAAGCCATACACGATTTTTTTTTCCAACCAATTTCTTCTTTTGTGATGCGTCTACTCATATTTAGCCTCACGCAACAGCCGTAACGACAATGACAACAGCAGTGGCTTTGCATGCTTCGTTTCACCCTCCATATAAAATTAGAGGCGGGGCGTTATCTTGTTTGGGATGCCCCTACTGTTTTCATTCATATTCGAGGTATTACTACTAGGATTTCATCGTAGCAATGCGACAACTATTTTATACCATAGCAGGAACGCACGAGATGGATTTTCGTAAACGCGCTCAACGGCTAGCTCGGGTCTACCTTTCGGATTCAGAGGACGATAAAAACAGATGTTTAGCTAATGCTATAATTTTATAATTGCATTAAAAAGTATTGCGCACAATTTTTTGGTTGTAGGTCGTTTTATTGCCATGGCCTAAGGTTTGGGGACGGACATACGTGTGGTCACTGTTTACATGAACGTAGTGAACATCGTTCGTGAAGGTAAACATTTTCCAACGTGTATGTAATATACATAAGCAATGGGGCAAGCAGCTTTTGTAAAGCTAGCGAAAGTTCTTATCGATGGATTTCTCTCAGGAACACGCCATCAAAGCGAGCTGCATCAGTCGGGGGCTTTGGAAAATAAAGCACACAATAACTGGGCCCGATTTGTTGCAGAAACAACCTTTTGTTTCGAATGATCAATCATGTAACAAAACTTCGATTTGCTCGATTCAACAAATAAGCTTTCAAAAACTGAAAATGCTCCTGGTATTTAACTGGTAAGGCACAGGAATTAAAAGATAACGTAGATGGCCTTTTTGCCCGATTCGACCGAATATTTCCAGACGAAAGACAAGCGAGGACATTTTTTGAACACCTATAAACGTAAAGCCGATGGTGACTTAGTTTGCGTGCGACCTAGTTCGCTACCATACGCCATTGAACGCAGATGTTTGTTTACATTTGTTACATTGTTTTTCAATTAGAATCTAAGCTAAGGTCCTTGAGTCATTGCTCATCGAGTGTGCTGATACGGGAACTTTATTGTATCGCAGACGAAGTTGTTTTAGAACTCCTTAATTATAGTTATCCAATCATTACCTAGGTTGAACTATACTGCTTTGTATTAGATCCCACCACGGCTTAAGGCGCAGAATACAATTACTGGACTGCGTGGTTTTAGCTCCTTCAAGGTGCTGTTTTTCGCGCAGTATCTGGCGGCTATGGACTAGCCAACGGTGGCTCAACAAAAAAAAAAAGCTAAAATTAATCTCTAATTACCCTTTGATGTTTAGTTCAGGTCATCAATTTAGGACAACTTTAATCATGCTAGTAAAACATTGCTATGTAAGACAATTGGCTTGGATGCAATAGCTAAAGTCACAGATTATAAATAAAGCGACCAAATAGGGGATACACTAAGGCCATTGATGACGGTCGCAATTGGACTACGTACTACGCTAGTCAAATCAATTTGTGATTTACGTTTGCAACAATGACTAATTTAACCTGTTACGTCGCGTATGACATATAGAAGAAGTATACAAAATTTTTCTTCTGTTTCGTATACATGTCGTTTTCTGCCCCCTTTCCAACCCCTGGCTTTTTATCCCTCTCGGTCGTCCTGTTTCTTTTGGTACAAGCTAGATAGTCACATTTATATTTTTATACGAATGAACAAGCATAAATATATCCAACCGTTTACTCTTTTCAAGCTGTGAAACATACGGTTAAGATTTCGTGATGCGAGACGACGTAGGACCTTGCAGGAATCGCAACGATCTCCCTTCAAGGCCGTGCTGGTGGAGACGTCTATATCGGTTGCACATATATACGGCGGAAGTCGTACGCTCCATTAAGTTTTCATATAAACAAACCAGTGGACGAAATACAATGGCAGGCAACTCGATATTGAAATATCACGATGTTACGTTATTGATATGGCAGGCCCATGGCCCACCTGTGACGGTGGCCGACTAGGTGCGTTTACGTGGCATACAATGATTAATCCATTTTGTTCTCAGATATTCTATTCTCAACAAAAAAATATAGCCGCTCCTCAATAAAAATGGGCCGACAAGCGCATACTCCTGCTGAATCACGAAATCATTTTTCAAATTACAATAGAGCTCAGCTATGTACTATGTAAACTAGGTAATGATATGAGAATATCAGTTAATCTTGGCTTTATGTCGGTCGGAATAAAACTGTATCCGTAAATTTGTTTATAGAGCTATACGTATATAAAATACACCCGCATACAATATATAAAATAAAAAGAAAAATGTTCATTCATATAAAAATATAAATGTGACTATTTAACTTGTACCAAACGGCTTTTGGAATTGCTTAAGAATGCATAATATGGCGTTTAACCTACTCATGGTTTTGTCAAGGTAGCATCGACTGTCATAGCTTAGGCCGACGATCTAGATCAGAAAATGTAAAGACGCAAAAAACACGGATTACAATTACTAGTTTCGGCCGAATGAATGACAGGACATTGATGAATTTGCGAAGGCCCTCGTGTTAGCGATAGCTTATAAAGTTGCCAACGAATGCGATACTATCGAAAAAATCGACTGTCGCCCGTCATTTATGAACCTTCAGGTCCTCCATGAACATGATACTGACACTACTTTCTACTCTCGGAAGCCCGTATTCAGGTTGTACGTGTCATGCGCAGCGAAACGGCTAAAGAATAATTACAAAATACCTATTGCAATTAGCTTTTCGCCCTTCGAAGAGTTAACCGCGTACACTTAGTATCATTAATTTTTTATCGAAAGCACGTCCTATTGTTCCATTCAGCGGGCAAACTGTAAAAATCTTGAGCTGAAGGCCGTCTAATCAAATTTCTTCTCTTTCAAAACTCCTAATCTGATATATACCCATGGGTGAGTCATCGTAGACAAAATTGGATTAAAGGTGACATTTTTCAGGACACAAATAAAACCTCTAAAGGTGTTTAGGACTTTTACTTCGCTGAACGGCCCTTAAAGACTAGTTTAAGTAGCTTCTTATCCGAAAACTTGAGGGATAGTTACACTTTAGTTTTCCTAATAAGGTGCACCTACGGCGCCGGTCTTAAACTTTTAGTTCGGCGTCCTCTGTTGAAATGTCACATAAACGTTAATAGTTAAGTTTTTCTCTTTTGTTACAGCATGGGTGCTTGGTGTCGCTATGTGCAAGTTGACGTCGTTCTTGCAAGCTGTCACAGTTTCAGCGTCGATACAGACGCTTGTCATTATATCTGTTGATCGGTAAGTTGAGCGTGTCGTTAATCATCGTTAACTATTGAGCTAGCACTATAGTCATCGTACAAAACTGCTCCTGACGTTACAGGTCATGTGCGTATGTATAGAGGCATGCACCTATATGGAATCTAACAAATGGACAAATATGAAGTAAGCGATTTAGAGAAAATTGCGTATTTCTACGGTGTGGTACACTATTCTACCAGCTCACCATATTACCTTAGCCATAAGCCATAAGAACTCGAATCTACGTACTTTGCGTGCTCATGATATTAATGATCGGGTATTTCTAAGATGTCATGCCAACTACCGTATACCTATCAGACTAAAGGACAAAGGAGGGAAGCGACGCTGTCGAGCCGCTGCTGTTTCGAAAGCAAGACCGGAATGACCGGCAAATTGCTACTGACAAAATGGGGGACGACGACGACGATACCGCCCAAAATGACTACTATCTCAGTGCGTCAAACTCGAGTAGCTAAGCAGAACAGAGCACATCTGCAGGGACATCGGTATAGATAGGGTGCTGGCGATCATGACTGTCGTGCTGAAACTAAGAGACAATAAGAGGGACAAAAAAAACAAAAAGACCTTCATCAAAGGATATCGCAGAACCAATGAAAAGTCTTACGGGGCGAAAAAACAAAATACTGCCTCGATTACGCATCGAGTCTGCTCCTTCTTGCCGTATATCCCAACCTTTTTTTTTTATTGTCGTATGACTTCAACATCAAGTATTGTGCAACGGCAAAGAAACCCCTTCGAACGATGAAAAGATAATATGCAGCTAGCTTATTGGCTTGGAGAGCAGGTTGTCCCAGCAATAACGTTGCCGCCAGTTTGGGCCTACTTCAATGGGCGGGAGCCCGCAACAGAGCAAGAGACAGGGTAAGGGCTGAGAGAGGGATCCATGGTACATGGATCATGCTAAGCCCGAGGAAAGGAATCAATAACGCAACTACTGACTAGCGAAACTTTTCAAGAGAAGAAACGAATCAATAACGCCAACGACTTGGGGGAGCTGCCGCATTAAATTGACAAAGATTGACGGGGCTCGTCATCCGTCCGTCTGGGGCTCCAACTACGCAGACACCCAATGATGCGTGTATGGCAAACGAAGACAAGTCAAATGGCAGATGATAAGCGACGAGAAACTTAGGCCATATGGACATGGCCAGTTAAGCTACAGCTCGCATTCTAAGGTCGATTACGGACATCAATAATATGCCGTTGTTTAACGATAGTCCTAAATTTACAAAACAAAATAGCTTACTTTTTTTTCTAAGCTATCCATTGGTTATTGATTAAATTGCTTACATGCTATATGCATGTCGCCGGTCATTTTCTGAATGTGTTTAGTTTTTACAAAGATTGAATTTCTAAAAAATACGCTCATCATATCAGTAATAATTGTCGATCTATTTACGGCACCTACGTGGACGACTTCCATAGTTTTCAGGAAAAACCGTATCAGACGCAACGCTAGGGTAGCCGACAACTCTACAAACAACGTAAAAGCATGCATCCGTATAATGATAATAACAAATGAAGCGCCATGATGGCTAAGCGTCTAACACACAATTACTTGTGACCATAACTGGCCCATTGCTAATAGGAAGGAGACATATTCCTTTAAGAATACCTGCAATCGCCGTGCAAGCAAGTACTAGGCACCCCTGGATACGGCCTATGAGCGTTCGATATGCACTGAACGATTTATCAACACGATAGACCCTCCCAACAGAAAGTGCAGAAGAACTTAAAGCCATCCGACGGAAAAATGTCGTAAAAAATGTAGAAAAAATGGCGTAACATTTAGCTATGAGACATACACCGCCACTCAGGCTATTCTAATAAAATGCAATAAATACATGGAAAACAGACCCATTTGCGTTCACTTCAATACACAATGTTACCGTCTACTCGCTCGTCTCCGTTTGCCATATAATCACAGTTATTGCTACAGGTCGACAAGGCTAGATGCCATCTAGCCGTAGTCTAGCTCTTACTACAATCTGCTTTTATGAGACAACACAAAATAGGTCCAAAGAAGAAGGGTCCAGTATAAAGGAAGGGACTATTCACGAACTTGTTGCAACGACTCGATATACCATTGCATTGCTATGCTACATGTGCTACGGGTGTTATTGCGAGCGGCACGTTATGTTGTTATCTCTGTGTTCGGGGGATTCGGTCTTGAGAAGAGCAGGGCAGACAATAAACGCATGTGTCGTATCGTATCTATGTGGGCCAACTCCTGTAGCTTCTTTCGGGCCGTACCTGCCATCAGCGACAAAATAAAGGGACTTTGATCTTGGGGGTGAACTGCACTTGCCATGGGTCTCCATCAACTCTGCGCGGAATATCCTCAAACTTGTGTAATGAACGAGTCTGCGATTTACTGTTGGGAAACCGACTGTACTTTTTAGCGGATCTCTTTCTTACTCCCTTTCGAAGAATACTGCGTCGACAGCGATCTATCAGTTGGTGAGGGTTCAAATGGTTGAAGCATAACTTTAAAAGCTTTAACGCTGGCACCGTTCCACTGTATTCTACTTTGCCTTTCAAGATATATTAGGTTAAATGGACTTCGGTTCAGAAACTTCTCTCCTCTTACTGATCGGGTGACCAAATGGTGCTTCGTAACACTGGCAGACTATATCGAATTCGATGAATGGTCAAAGACGGTGATAGAACAATTTTGTAAGAAGATTTGTATATTTTACGGGACCTCCAATTTATTTATTGGCCTAAACTGACCTTTGTCGCACGCATTTCTCGTGTAAAAGGAGGATATTCAACTTTAATATGACCTCATACCAAATTCAATAAGTCTATTTTAACCAATAACAGCTCGCGTAACAGCTGGAAGTTCGACGCAAGCGGCTAAGCCTATTTAGAAGGAAAACGTTATTATGTCGTTAAAAAAGTTTACTAAAGTCCCTTAAGAATTGACCAAAATCGTAAGTAAATTAAAACGAAACCTATTTTAAGACAGTTTTCAATAGCGAGGAATAGATTAAGTATACTACAAAGCCGTAATTTTCATAAGGGAAACTATCAGAGCCAAATACGTTTACCAATACGATATGCTACTTCTACATTATGATTCGCTAATTACATATTTACCTTGAAAGATGTAGCACTCGTACGAGATACACCCGAATGGTGATAATCTGTCGACCTTCAACAACCATGCGATGCGTGGTACATAGCATTGAATGATCCATTTCCAATTTTTAATCTGTACGAGTACTGCAGCAAGATCTGAAATCCCCTCTTGGGGATTTCAGATCTTGCTGCAGATGCTCTTTTGTTTCTTTCTAAGCCGTCTTTTTTATTAAACTACTATTGTACTGCTATTTTAACTAGACATGCCACCTCCAGTGTATAGAAGAACACTGGACCGAGCGGGTGAACCAAGGGGAAAACTTGCCTCTCCTAATACGAGTAAAGTCGCATATCGATTTGTTTAAATACGTTGTCCCCTTGGAGACACTTTAAGTAATTTCATGCTACTTTAATTATACGTTTATTGGTTTACGGTGCGGAAGCCGACTTCTTAGCTGCCTACGAATATGGGCGAAACCTCATTAGACCGATATAGACTTGATGGCAACCAGAACCGTGGTATTATTGGTGGGCATTTTTTAACGGTGGATAAGGAAAAATGATATTTTTTTGTGTAGCAATCACAAAATATAGCAGTTTTTATCTTACTGTAATTGATCTAAGTTTCCCGTATGTATCACGTGGTATGCCAGCGACACTAAGGATGTTGTCGTTACGAGCGCAAGGATCCTTGTACCCCACCAACAGCAATTAGTCCTTAACTAGTTCGCTACGAGTATTCGCGGTGCTCTTTCTATTAACACGCACGGTCTGCTTATAAACTCTCGACAGTTATTACCGGCAACAAAACAAGATCGAATGTGTACCTCTGCAGGTAACTGGGCTCACTACGGGAGTTGATCGCGATTTCAGAGCGATATGATTTTTACATACGATACATTAGCCACATCCAGGACAGAAAAATCAACCGTTAATTTGATCGATTAGTGAAAGGTCTAATATACATATTAGGGTGTGTTTACGATAGCAATAACGGTGCACGTAGGTGTTTCGACGAGGTTTCGTTATGTTTCGAGTTTTACGTCCGGTATCGCCGTAAGCCGTTCTATCGGTCGACTTGCTTGAACGACGTGTGTTTCTATGCCCGGATTCGAACCTAGACCAATGTCCTTTGCTAAGTGACAGGTAAATACATTACCCACTACGCTGTCAGAGGACGTTGACCAATGGACCCACAATAAGCTTTAGGTAAATAACGTAAACATTTTTCACACGCTTCCTTAAATGAAATTAAAACGAACGAATTGTGCCTTCCTTTTCGCCCTGTCCTAATATTACTATACCACAGAATGTCTCATAGTAATACGATAACATTACAAGATATGTAGATGAGTGCTTTACCATGTTTTACATACAAGTCATGTCAATGGTGGCTACGATACTAACAAAAAAGTACAACAGTTACCGTTAGCCGCCCCTGTACTACTTCGTCAATGGCTGCCAGGCCCGTGCTTTGTGATGATGAAGACAGTGAGGATAATGTGATGTTGGCCCTAATTATTTTATTAGTTGGATCTCATGGAAAACGCATCACTGACATGCAATTATCTTCCATCCACGCCCAGCGAAAACGAGCTGGAAGATGCCGAGTAAAAGCTGGAGCCACACCCTTCTGTGTTGTTATCGAGGGCCGAAATGAAGTGTAACAAACCGTATCGATTTTCAATCGTCATAACGCTCCGAAAACTGTTGCTCCGCTTACCCGAACGAGCGTGCTTTGAACTACCGAATATAAATACGAGGACGGAGTATATTTGACAAAAGCGCATTTATAGGACATATGACCTTTAGATCCATGTAGCCTTCCAGAGGAGTCTCCTGGCAACACTACGAGAAGTCTGGTTAAGCCAGACGGATTATGCTGTTTCGAACTT